TATCATCTTTATGTGTTCCAATCTCCATTAATATGCATCTGTAAAATCACATTTCCTAATTGTGAAGAAAATGTGGTCAAGTAGGTCGACTGAGTATCTCCCATATGCACATAAATATCAGCTGAGCACTTAAATATATATGCATTCTCAAAAGGTGCTCGTACAAATTCTGCATAGATGTTTTCTGCAGCTACGGAAAATAACAACAAAAACCATTTTATGAATGATATTGTTTCACCTTAAGCGATTAGCAGGATTTCAATACGTTCACTTCTTAAAAAAATTAAGTAGAAAGGCTTACAAAAGCAAAGCTTCAGAGATAAAGCAATATTATCAAATGGTAACAAGTTTAGACAACTCTAAAGATTTCTGTTACTATGTCTGGCAGTAGTTAGAACTGGAAAACATGAAATGTTGCGACGAGTTTAAAAGTGATCAAGCATGTTTCATTTCTTGATTATCCCAAAATATATCAGCTGACTTATAAAACGCTTATTAGACTGTCAACTTGATAACAGCTGAAGAATTCAGGCAGTAACATGACGCAAACGGTTTTTCAGCCCATCTTTGGCGGCGTCAATGGAGTCGTTAGAATGATTAACTGTCCTTTTGATATAAAAAATTCCTCCGCAGTCCACGACTTCTGACCGCCGGCGCCATACCGCATCTTAAATTATTCAAGCACATTTTTATGAAGGTCGAGCGCTACCTTTAAACAGTTTCTCGTGTTTTTATACCTCCCGCGCACAATACGAACTTTTATAACTGTTGTGAAAATCTGAAAATTGAGAAAAGTAGGCGGCGTGAACATTTAGCAGGTATTTATATAAATATATACTAAGTGACATATAAATCCGAACACCCAGTTTAAATCGTTTTATTTTAATAAAAGTTGGTGAATGTTTTTAACTTACTGTAAATAACAAGTGAAAAAATTTTCAGCCTTATCAGTTGGACATTCCGGTTTTTATACTGCTTTTTTTTAATTCACTAACGCTCTAAAACTGAATATTTCAGCCGCAGTAAAGAATCAACGTTGGCGGATTTTGGTTCTTGACATCCCTTACGGAGACCTGTACGATTTCGTCAACTTAGTGAATTTGATAGGGGCCGTATAGTGGGACTTCGGGAAGCTGCACTTTCTTTTCGGGCAATTGCAGTTAGAGTGCAAAGAAGTGTAGACACTGTGGTTAGGTGTTGTCAGGCATGGCTTCGAGAAGGTCGTACGCAAAGAGCAAGGGGCACTGGACGCCGCCGTAGAACAACAGACCGTGAAGATCGCCGCCTAAGATTATTGGCCTTAAGGGACCGCTTCTCCACTACCAGGTCCATTGCAAATGAATGGTTTGCAGAACACGGAAGACCTATTGGCATGCGAAGTGTTTACCGACGAATGAGAAGTTTTGGCTTGTTTTCATACCGGCGACACTGGGTCCTCCCTTTAACTCGAGAACACCGACGTAGTCGCCTTGAGTGGTAGAGACAACGGTCACTCTGGGATCAGGAATGGAACAGTATTGTGTTTAGTGACGAGTCTCGATTTTGTTTAGGCATGCACGGTGGTCGTGCCAGGGTTAGAAGGCGACGTGGTGAAAGGAGGAATCCACAGTTTTTTGTTGAAATTCATGTTCATCACACTGTTGGAGTTATGGTTTGGGGTGTTATAGCTTATGGTTCCAGGTCACCTTTAATCTTCATCAGAGGTAACATGAACGCGCAACGTTATATCCACGAAGTTCTAGAACCCCGTCTGTAACCCTATCTTGACACCCCGGCAGATCCAACTTTCCAACAAGGTAATGCCCGACCACATGTTGCAAGAGTCACAATAGACTTCTTTCAACATAATGATGTCACATTGTTACCATGGCCACCAAGATCTCCCGACTTATCCCCAATTGAGCACGTGTGGGATATGATGGGTAGGAGATTGCTCAATCTGCAACGTCCTCCTCAGACTCTAGAAGCACTTCGAGATGAGTTGGTGGTTGCCTGGAATGAGAAACCACAGGAGGACATTGACCACCTGATCAGAAGCATGCCTAGGCGCGTTGGAGAATGCGTAGCACATCAGGGTGCATCCACACATTATTAAAGGTCAAAGGGCTTTAAAGCAGTGCAATCATTTTGAAATTTTTATCATTTACTTACTATGCTTCATTAAGTACTTATACAAAATTTTATTAAAATAAAACCATTTAAACTGGGTGTTCGGATTTATATGTCACTTAGTATATATAAACAACTTGAGGCGTGGTCATTGTCGTCTAGACCAGTTAGGTGAAAAATAAAGCTTCCGCCTTTTGTTGGGCACTTCGACAAGCAATGAGGACCCTTATACTTTATTAACCATCTATCTTTCAATGGACTTTGCCATCTTCATCAGGAGGTGCAATAACACTGGGAAGAAAAATTGGATTTGAATTAACTTACAGTAGTATGTGAGTGCGTTAATAACATTTAGCAACAAAAGGCGGAAGCGTTATTTTTCGTCTGTATATATTATGTATACATATATATATATATATATATATATATATATATATATATATATATATTCATGACGTTAGGGAGAAAAGAAAATTACGTCATTAGTGATAAGTTAAATATAAGAAATCCATTTTTTAAGCGCCTTAAAAAGTCTTTCGGTTGTCATCAAGACGTCTAAAACAGTAATGAGCTTTGTCGAACACAAATACTTTATTTATGTCAATGTTATCGATAGTCTGTAATCCCTTAACCTCTTATGACAGAAATGTGAAACGTTGACGTTTACGAACATGATAAAAATATTTCATGGTCGATTGATAGTTTTCAATTTGGCCCTGACCTTAAAAATCACCACTTTCTGAATATAATGGAAGCTCGTCCTAAAAAGACAACATCTAGAATATCCCTGGTGTCTGCTCTTGACCTTCATGTAAGGTCAAAGCTATAGCTGCCATTACAATTTTCAGTTATTTCCGTTATCAGTCCACATGTTTTTCATGTTGACCTCAAAGAGCCTTTTAGGGTGAATATCACGCAATGTCGTTTTTATGTCTGTACAACTTTGACAAGAAATTTTTAAAAATGTTGCTTTCAAATCAAGGTGAATTCTATGTTATATCGACTCGAATGGGTACGTTACTAAAAAGCTTTCATAGGCAATGTATGTAAATGAGTATGCTAAAGCAAAGATTTGGTGTATAATAATCATGCTACAATTCTAAGCTGAAATACTTGCGATGTCTAAGGCCCGTATCGTCAGTCGTCCCTACAATTGTAGGGTGCGTTTATGGCCTCCTTGATTGTCATACTCTTTCCTCTCCTTCAAAAAATTCTAGATTACACTCGTCCCGTGTCAGCGTCAGCGCTCTCCTATTGTTAAGATATGTTTTCCTTTTAAATTGTAGGACATTTCAGGCTGATAAAACATGATATAACTCAAAAACAAGCACAATTTGACGTTTGTGACATAACCTCAAAATAGAGCTCTGACACGGAGAAGTAGAAAACTCTGACAATCAAGGAGGCCATAAACATGCCCTACAATAAATTGTAGGGACGACTGACGATACGGGCCTAAGCCCTACTGCCTACTTCTTCTCACAAATTTTGGAATACTGTTATAATAAATATACTGCGCTTACGTTGTATTTATGTGAAGTCGTGCGTATAATTTCAAAGATTTGGCTATAAATTAAGTACGATTAAAAATAATTAATAGTTTTATTAGATATAAACTTATATCCATAACCGTCTGCTATTGTTGATAATGACTTAAATAAATTACCTTATAATGAGTTTACGTTTACTCTTGGAAGTATTAGAACATTTTCGAATAAACATCGAATTATGTAACTATTCTTGTTCTTGAATTACGGAAAACAATTTGCTAACGTAGAAGATGTGAATTTCACTCTATCGAGTGCTGCAAAGTTGATGAAACGTTTTAAGTTTTGCAAATAGTCCTGCTGCTGTGGTTGCCTCACATAGCGAAAATATCGTTTGCACCCTTTCATTTTTGATTTGGCAATGTTATCCAAAGAATGGAGGTCGAGTTATATGCTCTTTGACCCATCCAATTTTTGGGAGAAAAGTCAGATAACTATGTCTACCAGCAATGGTATGTCGACTTTACCCTAAGCCGAGCATCCACACCATACCAACGTTCAATAAACGTCAATTCACTTTTAGTTATCACATTTTGACTTGACGCCAATATCAACTCCCATCCTTTGAGATGCTAGCATGTTTGTTATAATGTCAACTAACAACCATTGATAACCCGTCGCTCTCTTTTAACTGATGTGGTAGCGGGACAAATCACAACCTCAGCAAATGTAAAAAAGTAATGTCGCCTTCACGCGTAGGCCAACGTAGGCCAACTTCTAGATGTGAACATTGAGCCAATAGGCTAACGTTGGCGCTGAATGACCTCCTTTCTCTCAGCCAACAAATGGACCTGGGCCAACGCTACATAGATGAGCATCTCAATATATAATGAAGAAATACAATGAGTACACATCTGAGGTACGAGGGTGTATAGATTTGTTCTTTGTGTAACTTTATTATACAGAGAGACCCTTATACCACTGACGTCGTAATGTGTTCCAGAAAGAAGAGCGAAACACGTGCAAAAGGTATGTTAGAAAGAGACAGAAGCACCGTGTTGTAATTATGAAAAAGTAGGCCACGCAATAAAAGGCATGTGTGGGTTGTTTTGTGGCTGTTTGTTTTGAGAAATCTTCAAATGTGAGTTTATATGGGAAGGTAGAAAAGAACACCGTACATTTTTGTCTTCCGCCCTTTGTCAAAATTCTCCGGATGCCTATGATAATTGGTAGGAATACTGTCAAATAGCTGGTGACACCAAGGGGCAAACAGTTCACACACATCCTAGACATCCTAGTTCAAGCTAACCAAAAAAAAATGTTTTTCCAGCGACGTACAGTCACCGCAAACCGATCGCTCGAAGTGGAGGAGAACATACTATTCATGTAGATATGTGCACTCACCATCCATATGTGTGTACCTTCCTGTACCGTCGTCTTGCCAAAGCCCACTGTAATCCGGAATATACCTTCCTGAGTCGTCATGGATATATCTTCCGGTGTCATCTGGAAAGTATTGTCCTTGAGCCAAGTACTGCACAGCATTTCCGGTTATCGATGACGCAGATGGTCGATACTTGATCTGGTTACTGGTAAAGAATGCTGAAAAATGTTTTTTTGATTATTTCTATTATACAGGGTGATTCGGAAAATGTCGATTAATCTCTAGGTATATAAAATAGCACAAAAAGTTCATATAAACATGTGCCCTGAAAGGCCCTCTAACCGAAGTACAAGTTCCAAATAGGAAAAATGGTCTGAAATCAATTTTACATATTGAGTAGCAACAGCATAGACCGTAGATACAAAGGTGCCTGAGGCTACAATAGTAGCGATGAAATTGTAAACTTTTGACCTTACAGAGAAAAAAGTAAATTATATTCTAGGCCACTATTTGGAACATCTATATATTTTTGAACGATGTATTTCATTTTACATGAATCGCCTCTTGAGGAAATTTTATCCTTCCTTAAATATTTGAAGAGAATTCCGAATAAGAGACTCAACTTACTTTATTTTGAAAATTCGCCGAGGTTAATGAACTTTGATATTAAATATTGTATTAATATGACGTAGATGCTCACAATACCATATATCTTGGTGATGGCACATATTGGATCAAATGTTTATCTCACCTTTTTGATAATTTTTTGATGAAGTAGAGATATTCTAATTGTTTTTTGAATGACCCTGTATAATTTTTGTTTATATCCCATATGCCTTCTAATTATTACAATCTTTGTATTTATCCGATGCATATCTTTAAAAAAAGCTAACGTAGATGCTCACAATATCATATATCTTGGTGATGGGACATTTTTAATTTAATGTTTATCTGACCATTTTGTTATTTTTGGATGAAGTAGACATATTGTAATTGGTTTTTGAGTGACCCTGTATAATTTTTGTTTATATCCCATACGACTTCTAATTATTACAATCTTTCTTTTCATCCGATTTTATGTTCCAAAAACTACAAACCTATATTATTTGCACAAACTCCTACATCTTCAAGTTTTGCACAAATTAGGTAGATGTCTTAATTTTTATCTTACTAGTAGAATAGATTACATGAAAAAAAAAATAAAACAAAGCATTGTACTTGAAGGAAGCTGTTTTTAAGTTATCTGCCTGGATATATGTCAGTATCACCGAGGTCATCGAACAGCTCTTGTTTTTCGTATCGACATTGCTGATTAGATAAACGACTGTAACTTTAAATAATAACCACTTAAAAAAGTAGGCTTTCATGTAGTCAGCTACGTTGGTCGAGGGTCTATTGAATCTGGCAGCTTTGATATCCTTATGCGGCGAATTATCAAAAGAGTTCTCTTATAGCACGTATGAGTGATATAGCACATAGGCTTGATTTGTTGAGGTCGTAGATTCAATCGCAAATGCTCCAGAAATATCGTACGTATCCGATCAGGTGAAAAGTGGTAGTATGCATTTTTAAGGCACTCCAGTACCCAGCACGATTGAACGTTTTGTGTGCCCAGCGTTTTGTAGCGAAATGTGCATTTCCTAGTGAGTCAAAGGGCATGTCATAGGTTCCCTTTCTGCTGCTTCCTTGAGTAAGCGAAAGAGGGATAGTGAGAAGGTCCAGATATCGGACACCGCTGCCGAAAAAGGAAATCTCCCGACCTGAGTCAGCAGTCTGAGAGGTAGCAGTCACCCAAAGGAGATGGTATATAGTTGTGAGTACTTGACACCTCTACAGTTGGTATGCTTACTTTCGAGCGAACACGTGTTTCACTCGGATTGGGTACTTTCTGACGGAATATGTTAATTTCTATAGCCTTGCGAACATATACTGAAACAAATGAGGCCTAAGATTTCTACAAGGCATATAAGTTATCACCTATAGAATTTTATAATATAAATAATATAATATAAAAACCCAATGCCCCTACATAAAATTATTGGTTTCAGTAGTTCATAGCTCTAGGGCCTGACTTTACTGGTGACAAACCCTGGAGGTTAAACTGGCAGGCTGTCTTTAACGCAGATAGACTGCCGATATCAACTTAGGGCTTCGTTAGAAGAAAGCGTATCTTTCGCTTTTACAAGGTTAACTTTTAAGATGCAGCAACGGGGTATAAAGCAGCTCTTGGAGAAATGATGCTGTAGAGATCTAGATGATTTGTTTCATATTTCTTGCAATATCCATATTCGTTCTTGACCCACAGAAGTTACAAAAATGTACAATTTTAAATTCAAAATAACTTTTAAATATATATTTTTTGAAAAAATTCGAATAGCGATTCTCCTAATGAAGCAATCTACTTTCATGTGCCCCAATTTTTTGTTCTTATCTCGGAAAACAGATGAATATGCTGGAACTACGGATGCATGTTTTACAAGGAATATGGATGCACAACTATTTACGTTAATGCTACCAACCTTGGTTGTTTGGAGCATATCGCTTCGGGTTGGATGCTGGTCTCACTGTCGACGATACAGACTCTGGTTTATAAGCACCGCTACCACTAGTGACGAAAGGCCTCGGACTGGTCACTATCGAAGACGATGGAGACACTTCTGGCCTGTACGTACCAGCGCTGCTGACATAAGGCTTTGGACTGCTCACTGACAGCGTCCTGGATGCCTCCGGTCTGTATGTACCCGCGTTGCTGTGGACGTAAGGCCTTGGACTGCTCACTGCGTTTCGTTGTGAAGCCTCCGGTCGGTATTTGCCTTCATCCCCAGGGACATACTGTCCTTCCTGTCCGCCCCCTTTGATTGGCTGTCGATACCTTACCGGACTGCCGGATGACGCAGCGGAGACGTATTCGGTGTCTGGGATGTAGTCACCCTCCTTCACGTATCTGGAAAAATAAAGACGATACCCGTTATGACAAATTTTCCGCGATGCGGCACTGGCCATTACAGATCTTCTATGGAAGGCTTGGCAGATTTGGCGTCGTCTAGTTTTATTGATTGAGCTGTTAGCCTTCACGTTAATAAGAACAAAAATTCGGTACATATGCATCTGACAATTTATTTCCGGTTTCAGAAATCACACAGTCTATTTACTACTGTTTGAATTTCTTCCATTATAGCAATACCAATCGCAAGGGCTTTCAATTCTGTGCAGTGCTACATAATGTAAATAATCTATCGATAATAGAATGAAATCTGTAGCTGAGTCACACATAAGTGGATCAAATGAACAAACCTTTCCCAAAATAATACTTATTAAGTAGTGTTGATCCCAGTTCAAATTTTGCTGTTTTGCACCCATTTCATCTATAAGTCTAGAAGCAGCCACTAATCATTAAGCACCTATATGACTCTATAAAAAACTAGCTTATGCAATCCTAATTGTAATCGTTAGGCCGGCATATTTAAAAAATCCCGCCAAGCTGTAAGACGGTTATTTAACGTATCTTCATAGTTATTGAACCGATTTCACCTTTTTAAGGCCTTTCAAATAACCCAGTAATTATTCAGACATACCAAGGTTTGAAATGTTTACAGATTTGTGCGGTTATTAAAAGAAAAATGAGAAAAAAATAAAGAACCAGTTTCAACAGTTAAGAATATTGTTTTCACAAATGCTAAAGACAATTTTCCTAATCTTACCTCTAAATTGGAATAAAATTGAAAATACCTCAGAGTCTGGGCCAGGCCAATATGGTCAAGCTTGAACTTCTAAGTCCTCTCAATTTTAGACGCGGAGCATTAGTAACCACGGACAAAAACGTGACACTTTTTTCGTGATATCGATAACGTCCAAATAAAGATATGCCATTGTTCGCGATTACAATCATTACTCGCCAGTGGCGTAGGAAGTAAATGTGCCCTTTATGTCAATTGACCAGCATCTAGGTTAAACAGGTTTTGAATCAGAATTGTTACCCTCAAAGAATCGTCATCATTAGATTGTTTGTTGTTGATATTCTTTTTGATATCTTTAAGTAGTGCTGTTTGTTTCGCTCATTACTCAAAGCTTATATAATCAACATATATAATATATATATATATATATAAATATATGGGTGAAAAATAAAGCTTCCGCCTTTAGTTCGGTACTTCGACAAAATTAAAGCAATGAGGACTCTTTATACTTTATTAGTCTCTAGCTTTCAATGAACTTTGCCATCATCATCAGGAGCTGCAGTAACATTAAGAAGTAGCAACTATTGTGCAAAATGATTTTTAATTACTTACAATAGTATGTGAGATTGCTGCTAAATGTTATTAAAGCTTAAGTTGAGGGAAACATTTAGTAACCTGTTTAAAGCTGGATACATGGTACACTAGTTAAAATTAGTATAAAATAAAAAGAAAGTTAAAAGTATCACTTGTTACATCGTGAAACAACGACAATTGTCCATCTCTTTAACAATATAGTTTGTTCAACTGCCTCTGGTCTGTTGACAAGTTTTTTATTTAACATATCTTGATAAATCACACCACCTGAAGTGATTTGGCAACATAGCACGCATTTTTACAAATGTTCGTTCCATCCATCGACACTGACACCAGCACTCTCATCTGTCAAATGTTTCAGCCTACTTACATATGATCCTGTGCCACGCCATTGTGTGCAGCATCAGGTTGTTTCACGATATAACATATAACAATTTTAACTTTCGTTCCAAATATTTTTAATCCATTTTGATGTGTTCATGACATACAGCTGTGTGTATTTTATACTAATTTTAACGAATGTACCATGTATCTATCTTTCAACCATTTACTAAATGTTTCCCTCAACTTAACCTTTAATAACATTTAGCAACAATCTCACATACTATTGTAAGAAATTTAAAATCATTTTGCACAATAGTTGCTACTTCTTCTTAATGTTACTTCAGCTCCGGATGATGATGGCAAAGTCCATTAAAATCTATAGACTAATAAAGTATAAAGAGTTCTAATTGCTTGAATTTTGTCGAAGTACCCAACCAAAGGCGGAAGCTTTATTTTTCACCTAACTGGTCTTGACACCAATGACCTCGTCTCAAGTTTTATATATATATATATATATAACACATCCTATTTACCTGAAGTATGGGTTATCCTTCTCTATCTTCTCTCCCGGATGTACCACTCTTGAATAAGGAACGTCGAACGCTTTGGCTTGGCACACACCAAGGAGCAGGAAGAAGGAACAAACTACGATCTGAAACAACAAAAAACATTTATTCACACATGTCTACTCTCCTTGATATACTGAGAAGGCTCACCGAACAAACAGAAAGTTTGCAACCACAATTAGATGAATTCAACGCTTTCGTTCCTTCCTTTCGCTAACTATTTTCAAATGACAGACGAAGATTGTCAGCGGAGCTTTATTTAATGTTCGTGCTTCCTGGCTTATATCAATGAATGCGGACTAGATTGAAGAAGCCAGTCAAAGATCTGTTTGTGCAGTAAGGTAGAGTTCTGTCATTAAATTCATGTGGAGTATTACTATCGACTATTTGTAGATAATTGTGGTGTTAGACAATTTTAAGACGTACTACGAATACATAATTTGCAAAGAGCAGCCAAATAGAGGTAGATGTTTCCACGAAGTATTATTGTTATGTTGCTACAACGCTGTCACTTTGGTATGCATTTTAAGACAAATAAGTCAAACAAATGCACTAAAACCACGATTATAGCGAAAAACAATGCTATGTAAACATACTGTCTTGGATAATTATAATCTATTCAAATTCGTTGTTTGGATACAATGCCTATATGATACTGATCGTACATACTTACTGCTACCATGAAGTTGAAATTTGAAGTGTATTCTTAAGTGAAACATGACGAATTAATGTTTATCAAACGGTACAATAGGATGTATTCAGGCAGGTACGACGCTTAAGGACAGTAGCTATTTGATTTAACTAGCTCCTAGTCTAGGTGCTCTACATGTTAGTTTCTAGATTTTGAAGCAGGAAATACTTGAGCCATGCATGAAGTTCGTCAATGAATGTTATTCTCCGAAGAAAAATTGTTAGCTTGACGGTCGGATTCATGAAGTTTATTAGAAATAGGAATAAGCTTCCGGGTTTCATAAACAGGCTACAATACATGTGCATATAGAGAGAATGGTAGAGACGGAATCTACATCGAAGAGGCAAGGCAAAAGCAAATAAATGCTTGGTGATTTCATATTGCAAAAAGTAAAATATCTACGATCGCAGAAATTTCAAAAGTAGATTTGGAACATCAGTTTAGTCTTTTTCTAAAAAAGTATGCATACACAGTAAAGTGATGTAACAGCCGCGGCATATTATACATGTAGGATCTCATTTTGAAGATCTGTTCATCCTATACAACCCTTTCGCGGACCTCCTTTAGCAGTCCTCTATATACTCGTATTTTCAAATCGCACGTGGTAAGTGTGTTTTCTACTGTGATATTCAAGTAGAAAAGGTTGTTTCAATATACATCTTTTTCTCAGTCTATTTTTGGCTAACATTCGAGTTAAAACAAATACAAACTTATGACCGCTAAAACAGATATACAGACAATAACCACATATTTACTGGTGATTTGTCACTTAACCTATCCACCCATGCGGAAGAATCATTTGATTGTGTTTCCGAAAGAAAACCTAATTTCAGTTATTTGAGTATGTTATTTATGTTTATATTATTCCATGTTTATTACTGATATGTAACGTCCTAATCTCGTAGATGAGGCAATCTGAATCTTCAGTATCTACTTATCTACACTAATATTATAAAGATGGAAAGTTTGTTGGTTTGTAGGAAGTAACCTCTAGAACTGCCGAATAGATTTTCAAAATTATTTTACCACTAGAAAGCTACATTATTCCTGAGTTATATAGGCTACATTTGTTTGTGATATTTGAATCTGAAATGACGATATTTGCTAAGGGTGAAGAGATACTGAAAACCAATATATTTTGCATCAAACAATCGTACATCAAACGTGGTATAAGGAAAGCAATTAACCTGTGGATACAAGCAGCCAACAAGGGAGAAAATGAGTATGAAATAAAGTCTAAACACTCAGTACGCAAGATAATTTCATCACAAGTAAAAATGTATGACACTGCCTTCGAAAATACCTCTAAAACACACATTGAGTTTTTTATTGTTTGTCTGTATTTGTGGTAAATCGTCCATCGGACAGACATACCAGCGGCAATGGGTGACATAGGCAATTATATAGAAAAACGATGGTTAAACTTTTAATGATGTATCAGTTATTATGTAATATGAATATATAGATAAATGGTCTTAGTACAAAAAAAACTTTTCAACATGAATTGGACCAACAAAAATCCGAAATGATTCCAAACCGAGTTGCAGGGTGTTAAAGTTATAATTTTGACTTGGCAAAAAGGTATATTTAGTGAATTAAGATATTGACTTATATGCGTGTACGCTTGTATTTATAAGCAGTACACCCAATACACATACCTATAGATTTTTGAGTCGCAGACCATACCAGCGGTGTAGAGATTTGGTGATGATTAAACTATATCTCGTTTATATGCCAGGGAAGTAAGATAAAATATTATTTTCATAAATGCTTGTTAAGTGGTGTCATACTGTGAGATTCATGCAGTTCCATGAATTTGACCTTTCGGGGCAAATCATCCCACTGGCAGTAGCATGTGATTTGCGCAGCAGGAAACAAATCCGCACTTACAAAACGATAACTCAATTATATCAATATGAATGGTATTAAACTAGAGGGAGTCCCAAAATTCATACAAGATATGAATTAAGTAGAAACCACGGTCTTTATGCTTGAGTTGTTGTTTATTCATACTCGGGGTAGAATTCAATAGTGCCTGTGGGCTTCATCTTGACTGACTTGGGCAATATTGATTTGAATGCCAAGAGGTTCTAATAAGACGGTGCCACATGCGACACATCCACTTAACCAATTCACTTGGCGATAGACTTTTGCTGGAGATAGACTTTTCTCGATCAGGAACTCTGTTTCGGTGAATAAAATTTGCCTGCTTGATCATGTGACTTAGCACAATTGGGTTCCTTTTTATAGGGTTATTTGAAATCAAGAATATATCCACATTACCAAATGGGAAAACCATTATGTGCTGTTCCATATATAACTAACTCTATCTTATGTACTTTGTATTCATTAGAAAAATAACATCACTAAGAAAAACTGTGTTTTCTATTTAGTTCAAATCTTGCGAGAATTTTGGGACACCCCTTACGTTCTTCTGTTGATAATTAATTGTAGGTGTGGATGACATGTAATCCTTTTGTACTCATCCGTTTAAATGTCAAGTTTATGTAGCAGGAATTTCACAGTTGATATTTATAACATTTATATCACTGCAAAAGTATTTCGCTTCTACGGTTACTATAGCAATACGGCCAATCTAGCTGTTATGCAGCTAATGAGAAAGGATGAACTGATAATAATATTGTAAAAGGTTACTCGCATTCAAGGTCTAGAGTAAGTACTTTTGGCAGTATTTCATGCGATGGCGTAACAACGCTTCGACAATAACACGATTTTCACGCTAAGAAGATGAAATGTATCATTTACGTTAAATTTCACTGCTTGACACACTATTAATATGTCGTTATTGCTAGTTTCCTATGTTGTGCCTTTATTCTGGATGATGCAGAATCGCGATGAGCAACTTCCTAATATTTATCCATATTGAATTGTTTTATGATAGAAGGTGTTTCCTAGGCACGTGGAATATCGTACGTACGCTGAAAAGCTGAACTTAATGTACCGGAAAACAACCATTGGTCAATGACCAGAGAGAAAAGTGAATAATAGGAACATATTACTTAAGCCATAGACTCCTTTAAGCCCTAGTTACTATACGGCCCGCTATTTATAAATTAGTATGTGCTCAATACAACATTGGGCAGCAGCGGTGACTGCAGTAGTAGACTCTTCGGTCTCCTGATCAGTCGCCGTGCGCTGCGCGGGTTCGAATCCCGTCCCAAAAGAAATTTTTCTCTCAGCTATGGATGTTGTGATTGTGCATAAGTGGTAGACGGTCTCTGACCTTCGAATTCGGAGGTACCACCCGGCAGATCTCGTAGGCGGGGCCAGAATGTGTGCGCACGTGTTCCCTCGCCAGAGTCCGTGCGGCGTTCCCCCTTTCCTCTGTATCCACCTATAGCCCCACGGTATCCCACGGCTATTTAGGCCTTAGGCCTTCGTGGTAGTTAAAGTATAAAAAAAACGTATACGCCACGGAAAATAGATTTTAGCCTCATCTTCGGCCCGCCTAAACAAACACAGATGCCTCTCATTCGAATTCCTGCACTCCTATTGGCCAGCGGGCCATAACTGCTTGAGCAGCCAATGGAAGCGGAAACGGCGATCGTCAGCATGTATGTCTAGACTTATAGGCTTGTTTATTCGTTGCTAGTAAACGGACACTGACACAACAACACGCCCAATTTATTTTCAGTTCTACTTGAAGGGTAGCGATCATAAGTAAAGCTTTGTGTCTCCGGCGTCATAAGCGATTATATAGCATGACGTGGATCATAACCGAATACCTAACATAAATATTATTGTCTAGCTATGGCGCAAAAAATGCGACAGCAATTTGATCTAAAAAGTAAAATCCAAAGCAAATAAAGAGACCGTACTGTTCAACGATATTTGCGTCACTGCCTAGCAATAGATGCAACAAATAAGAGCAGAAAATTAATCAAGACGTAATGAGGAGGAAAAACTTTGTTCCATAAGTGAAGTTTTGGAAAAAATATATTTAAAAAGCTTCACACGCGATGTTGGTTAAGTAAGACTATTATCACAAAGTTATTACTTTTCGAAAGGTCGTCGAGTAGGAAAATAGTATCAAGAATTGAAGACTAAGGAGAGCTGCATCTAGAAAGCAGTCTAGTAGTGCATGTGAAATACGGAGGGTGAACCATGGGAGGCCTTGCTAACAAATACACAGTTGAAGCTCCCCAACTAACGGTATAGATGTAAGGATAAAATTTTCCAGAAGGCGTGAGGAATATACAATTAAAGAAGTTAAGAGAAATATTCATTTACTCGAAAACTCACGTTTTGCTGTGAGCTAGGATTATAATTTTAACGTCGACGACCGCACTGATAAAATAATGACGCGACTGACTCGCCAGCGCGTCTGAGTTCGATGTCTCGTAAGTGTGTGCAGAAGGAATTTGTCACCAGATG